CTCTCTGTGAAATCATTACAGCAAAGCTAGCACGTAGAATTGAAGGTCAGATAAAGAGCTTCACAGACAAGAAAAAGCTAAAGGAGTCCATCACCACCAAACCAGGGTTATATGAAAAGCTAAAGGATATTCTTTAAGAAGAGGAAGAAGAAGAAAAAGGTAAAGATAAAAATTATGTACAACGAAGTGACAACAAATAAATATCTATCGACAAGTGAATCTAAAAGTCAGAATAAACTGGTGAATATAACAGAAGCAGGGGCATAGAAAGGGAGTGGACTGACAATTCTCGGGGGGAAGGGGGTGTGGGAGTGCGGGAAGAGCCTGGACAAAAAACGTACACCTATGGATAAGGACAGTGGAGGGATAAGGGCAGAGGGTGGGGTGGGAACTGGGTGGAGGGGAGCAATGGGGGGGGAAAAGAGGAACAACTGTAATGATCTGAACAATAAATATGAAAAAAATAAATTAAAAAAAGAAACTGTAATAAAAGAGTTTTGAGCTACTCACCAGCAACTGGCAGATCATAAACTGAAAGACACAATTTTAAAGAAACATTTATTTCACTAGATTTAGCCTTGGAAATAAAATAAATTTTACCAAATTAGATCCGAGTACTCATAATATTTTAAAGGTGATGCACCCAAATTTCAATAGTGCTCATTTTTTAATGAAATATTTGATCACGTGAAAATATTAACAGTAAAATTGGTTGCTCTCTTCCTTTTCCTTAATGATTTTTAATGTAAAATGTACTTTTTTTTAAGTTCAAGGACAGAAAGTAGCAGTTTTTCATGAAAAATATGATTTCTTACAGGAAAAAAATATAATGTTCAACAACTTCACATTTTATTGCAAAATATATCAAGAAACTGTAATAAAAGAGTTTTGAGCCACTCACCTGTAGTTGGCACGTCATAATCTGAAAGACACAATTTTAAACAAATTTATTTCACTAGATTTAGCCTTGGAAATATAATAAATCTTACCAAATTATTTCCTAGTAATCATAATATTTTAAAGGTGATGCATCCAAATTTCAATAGTGCTCATTCTTAATAGCGTGATTAGAAATTAGATTTCTAATTTTCCCCTTTGCCTTAACTATAGTTTCCAAATATTGTTATTGAACAGGAAAAATTAAAATTATTTTTAAAACAAAACATTCAACAGGCAACAGTAATTAACTTTTTCCACACTTTCCTACAAAATAAACCACATCATAGTAGGAAAAATGCGTTCTATCATTTCATCCTCCTTTTCTGTTCTTATTTCTTTTTGGTCCTCCCTGAAAGGTACAAGTTGAAGAACGTTTTATGGAAGTATCCTTGGCTTTTACAATGAGATCAAATTAGTGTTAGCATCTGCTAAAAAAGAACCTTTGCATTCAACTCGATCGGTTCGGTGTGAGGATGAGATGAACACATATTTGCCTCAGTTGATTGGGCATCGTCCTGTGCACCCAGAGGCCACCCGTTCGATTCCCGGTCAGGGCACATGCCCGGGTTGTGGACTCGATCCCCAGCAGGGGACCAGCAGGAGGCAGCTGATCAATGTTTCTCTCTCACATCCCTGTTTCTCTTTCTCCCTCTCCCTTCCTCTCTCAAAAATATACAATAAAATAAATTTTAAATACTGTGAATGAACAGGTACCTCAGGGCTCTGCAGCACACAGGGGGCATAGAAAGCACTTAGCAGATGGGGACAATTTCGTTGCAAGGATAAGGGGTTCTCTTCTTACAGAAATCGTTACTATTTCCTCCCCTATCCAATGACTCGCTCAGGTTGGCCATACGTTTTCACAAACCATAGAGCACTTTCATCCACTAAAAATTGCTGCAGAATTCAAGTTTAAGGGCCTTTCATGTCTGGGAAATATTGAAGTTACAGGAAATCTCAAAGAAAGTACTAAGGCATTGGCCACTGTTCACAGATCTTCAGCTGCTTCTCTAAGACCAGGACGCAGGCTGCATCTCAATGCCTGTACGTTCTAAACAGGCAACCTGTACAAAATATGAAACTCCTTTCTCTAGGAGCAGGAAATGCGGCAGCAAGAGGGAGAGAGTCCCTTACAGGTGAAAGATGCCAGTAGGAGGACACAAGTATGCATGGACACTGCGGAGATGTGGCTAAAGAAGGGGAGGGTTGGGGGAGGGCAGGAGGGGGTAAGGGATCAACCGAAGGACTTGTGTGCATGCCCATAGCATAACCAGTGGACGCAAGACACTGGGAGGGAGGTGAGGGCATGTGCAGGGGGTCGGCGAGGCTAGGGGAAGGGCAATTGGGGGAAAAAGGGAGATATATGGACTACTATTTGTAATACTTTAAACAATAAAAAAAGAGAAAAAAATGTAAACAAAAAAAGGAAAGAAAGAAAGAAATATGCTCTCTGCCCAGCTGGCGTGGCTCAGTGGTTGAGCGTCGACCTATGAACCAGGAGGTCATGGTTCGATTCCAGTTCAGGGCACATGCCCGGGTTGTGGGTTCCATCCCCTGGCGGGAGGCATATGAGAGGTAACCAATTGATGTTTCTGTCTCTCTCCCTGTCCCCTTTTTCTCTCTTCAAAATCAATGAAAACACATCCTCAGGTGAGGATTATAAAAATAAAGAAAAAGAAAGGAAATCGGCTTTCTCAGAATCTTTAGCGCAAATCCCAGTTGTCACCCCCAAGCTGAGTGGCTTTAGGAAAATGACTCAGCCCCTCTGTGCCTCAGATTCTCGGCTACAAAACTAGGGCCATGCTGTCACCTGCCCGGTGGGTTATTATGAGGCACAGAGGTTTTATGCATACAGACTCCGTAGAATAGCGTCCGGAACAAAGGAAGCACTTAGCAACTGAGAGCTGCTATTGCTACCACCAATGTGATACCCATTGAACTGTCAGCAGCAGCATCACCGTCCTCATCACCGTCGCCATTTCTTCATCACCACTGTCTGTCATCAGCGAGATTCAGGCTAGACTTCGGGGAGGGCTTGGTGGTGTTTCTGATATGGAACACAACATATTTCTTCCATGTTTGTCACCCTGCTCTCTCCCTCCTGAATTCTACTCTTAGGGATTCATGCCTTTGGAGCTGTCGCTGCCTAAATGGAAATCCCTTCCTCAAGGAAAGAGAAATGAAGACGAGACCACTGGGGTACGGAGGGGAGGCAAAGGCACTGAGCATCTTCCATGTCCCGGGCGCTACGCCGAACACATCAGAACGTTGGGAGACAAGCATTCTCTCCACCGTCACACAGACCAGAGAGCTAACATCCCGAAGACGCAACTGAGCTCCGTAATGTTACTGAGTGGGTCTGGCTGCTGTATCACATGATCTCACTGCTCTGTGGAATCTAATGATCAAAATAAACGGATGAACAAAACAGATCCAGAGACATAAAAGCAAAGAATAGAATTCAGAATCTCAGGGGGAA